TTTCCATGTTACCTTAAACTGCCAAACTGCCACTTTAATGTGTTGTGTTTTAATTGGCAACATCATTGAGCATCTGTTTGCAGACTCTATTCTTTGATTCTTGTTTGATGGGTGAAGCATATGTTGCTGTACAAATATTTAGGCCTTTTTTCTCCATTGCGTGAATGTGAAACATTCGTTATTTGTTTTAGACAATGCTTAATAAGTCCTTTGTCAATTACATAAACGCACTTCAAAAGCTTAGAATTCAGTAGACCCCATCAATTCTGCCAACAAGCTTCAATCAAACTGTATTGCTGCAATATTTTCCTTGATTGCCATGAAGTTGACTCCAGGACACTGCAGTCTTAGCATCAACATAAGACCAAGATGGAAGGGGGGATATCTACCAACTACCAACCATTGTTTCACTGACTTGTCTCTGTTGATTTCAGGGTCTCGCTGTGAGGGACACACGGACCTCTGCAACCCCAACCCTTGTCATCACAACGCCGTGTGTGAGGCTGAAGGTGAGGATTATTACTGTGTCTGCCCTGCTGGACTGTCAGGCAGAGACTGTGAGATCCAGGTGGATGTCTGTCATGAAGGAGAGACTTGCTTGAATGGTGGCAGCTGTGCACCGCCCTCTATGGACCAAGTCTGTCTCTGTGTGGCTGGATTTGTAGGTGAGTGCAAGAGACAAGGACTTAATTGTTACCAAGAATTAAAAATTATAACAGTGAGATCAAAGTATGGCAATTCCCATTTATACTGTGTCATTAAGGAAACCTGGGATTCAAGACACGATTCAATTAAATGTAATACAAAAGTGACTCAGTAATCCTTTCAAGGATATCATGTCACTTTTAAAAGGGAAAAGAATAATCCCAAGAATATCTTAAATATATCTTACTTCCTGGTTCAGTAACCTTCATTTATACTCATACTCAATGAATGTGCACTGTATTTATTACAAAAGCAATTGAGTTTAGACCACAGCCACATGCAGTTTGAATCCCTTTTTCAACCATTCATCAGTTTACCATTTTGCCAAATAACAAAGGTTGGTCAAATCAGTCATTTCAATTTCCAATTGGGGACCATACCAGACCCCTTTACAGAATAGGCTGAAAGCTACAATAGACAAACGTGATACACACTGAATAATTGCATATCCACCAATGTAACAATTCGGTAAAAAAACTAGCAACATTCTTGCGAATGCTTCTGCAACTGTGCCATCTGAATAATACATTTCACGATTACGGCTGAATATTAAAAATTCAACATTGAACAAAATATCTCTTTAACATTCAAAAAAGGGGGGTAATGGCTGCCTGCCCTGTCAAAAACGTGTGTCAAACAAAAAAGGAAGAAATTAAAGCAGGGGAAGAGGGGAAAAGGAGGCAAACAAATTGGTGAAGAATCCTACCAAAACATATAACGCTCTCTCTCTGGCTGTCATCAAAGTGAATGTAGGGCTCAATTCGAGTAGAGTCAATTAGAATTCTTGATTATTGAAATATTCGACCTTCAATTTGATCGAACATTCGGTTGCATTGGCCGGCAGATTGTTGATTAACAAACCATGTACAAAATCATTCGCAGTAACCTACACAATGGTATATTATATTCACTGTAATACATGTACATGTAACTTCTCACTTCAAGGATTATCTCCAACCATGATGTAGTAAAGGTTTCATTTCTTTTGAAACAGACCCCCAGAATTCCGTTTTTCTTTGTTCTCTTTCGAGCTCAAAAGAAAAGGCCGGAAAAGAAACACAAATGGCAATGTGTTTGTTTTCACCTGAAACGCATCTTGAGTTAGTGACGGTCGCACACTGCATGCACGGCATGCACGTGTAGCTCTGTTCCTCCAGTAGCCTTAAAAACAAGGCTGTCAAGCTTGCATGTGATACGGCACGTGCTGTCTGCACTTGCATGCCTGCGTGATCGTTGAAACGATCGGAATTCCAGCAGCGTCACGCTTATCAAGTGGTGCATGGCGCAGTGAACTGTCTCAACACGCACCTCAGATGAATTGATTTGTGCTTGCTGCACCGGTTAGCGTGCTGATGAGCCCATTCAATCTTGAATTAAAGACTATTATTTCAGTCAGTGGTTCCAGATCGCAGCAACTGTATGACCAGGAATATTGCACGTAGCAAGCCGGGAACCAACTACATCATGGTTGTGCGTGTGTATTTTCACAGGACGAGCTGTCGATCGATGTCTTCATTTACAATGTAATCATGCACGGTTTGGTTTAAAAAGCTCCTACGTCATGCTACAGATTTCGTCAAAATATGGAAAAAAAATTTCGAAAGAATGTACCTTTTAAAAGTTATTGAATCAGAGGTGAAAAATAAGTGAAACCAGACATGGCAACAAAAGGAGAGATTCCTGGTCATTATGCACTGCACTCACTGGGCTCAGTCGTGTGCTTTGATGTTATTTGCCATGATTAAAAACTCCATTGTTTTTCAAGCAGGCCCTGTGGCATCTCTTTATATTGTTGTAATGAAAAAAATTGGCTCTGATTCCACAATTTGTGGTCACTGAGAGATTACTAACAATTTTGTCTGATGCCGCCATCTTCCTCTTTAGATCTCCAGTCATTCAATTTTAAGTTGAAATATTGTCATGAAGGTTTCATCATATTTTATTTCAACAAAGTTTGCATCAATACATCATTCATAAATACCTGAGTGCACCTTATAAGGGTTATGCGAGCTGCTGGGCCAAGTGCGTGCAATGACCATGTACTGTACATGTAGTGCGTACAGGCTGAAGCAATGGCTGACTGGGGAAGGTACCTGGGACAGTTTTTCTATTCCAGTTGGTCGAAACGTGTGATGTGACCGTGTATTTGATAATGCCTGCCGAGAAGTGATATATATATGCCCGCTGCATAAATCACACACTGGCACATGGATACGAGACAGTTTAACTGAGTCTGATTGGTCAGGAGTCTGCGTGTGCGAAACATGCCATGTGCGCACCTAGTTTGTTTAAAAATATCCTTTTGGACAACTTTCAAAAGGGTTATACCATAAAATGGTCGGGGTTGTTCGGGAAAATGAAAGTAAAATTTTGTAACAAAATCATTGGAAATCCATCATATGTTGACTTCTTGTGACTCGCTGAATCAAAAGGTATTTATTTATTACAAAGAATCTTGTCTTGACACATTCACATTGTGGGGGTTTAAAAGTTATTTCCGTATTCTACGATGGATTCTATATTGGACTGTTGGGCATATCAGCTGCCTTCAAGTGTCTGGAATCTGCTTAAAATAAGCCACCATAGTGCGATTTTTCTCTCTTTTAAAAATGAAAAGTCTCTCTTCTTTTTAACGAATTTTGCATTTGAATTTTTGAATACGAAAAATGAGAATCAAATATTTGATAATCGATCAAAGTTTCAAATATTTGGATATTTGACACAGCCCTAAGTGAAAGCATGGTGAAAATGTCACTAAAACCAATTAACCCACCTTGCATGCAGGCTTTATGTGGCTATACAATGATATCATTGGCTATGAGACGTTTGTCTTGAATATGCACATTTCTCAGTAGCTCTCCTTCACTTTCAGTTCAGTTCATTTTATTTCCACTTATACAAGTCAAAACAGCGAATCCATTGACACTTTGAAGTAATCAATAATAAGTGGAGGAGGTCTCCAAAAAGCAGGGCTTGTAAACTGGAGACCCCCTTGGAATTGTGTTCATATAGATTGTACTAATTACATTTACATGATTTTTATGACAAAAGAAGTACACAATATTTAAGTTGACAAATTAATACAACACACAAAAGGAGACAAGACAAACCTGAGGACAGGACAAGACGTCAACAAGAGGCCAACAAGCACATTAAGAAATAATTACCGTTGCAGTGAAGTTATATGAAAATCATTTAAATCACTCTAATCTGTATTTGTCTATAAACCAAGCTTTGACTTGTTTCTTAAAGACCGACAAACTTTTAACTGATTTAAGATTATTACTTGAGGTATTCCAAAATTTTGGACCCTGAATAGAAACGTTACCAAATATGGTAGTGTGCCGTGGTCTGCCGGGCTCAAGCCAAGTGGGGTCATCATACTGAACCAAGTGAAGAAAATACTTCCACCAAGCCAAGGTATCAAAGGAGGTACTTCTCGAAGCAAGAACTCTACTGAGAATACTGCCTTTGCCGAGCATAAATTATTTATCATGTACTTGGTGATAAAAAGAATTACCCTGGCATGTTCCTTATTTCTGTTATTTTCTACCCACCAGGAGAGCATTGT